AGTCTAAGGTAGTCTGAGGTAGTCTAAGGTAGACTAAAGTAGTCTAAGGTAGTCTAAGCTAACCTAAGGTAGTCTAAGGTAGGCTAAGGTAGTCTAAGGTACCCTAAGGTAATCTAAGGTACCCTAAGGTAGTCTAAGGTACTCTAAGGTAGTCTAAGGTAGTCTAAGGTAGTCTAAGGTAGGCTAAGGTAGGCTAAGGTAGGCTAAAGTAGTCTAAGGTAGTCTAAGGTAACCTAAGGTAGTCTAAGGTACCCTAAGGTTGTCTAAGGTAGACTAAGGTAGTCTAAGGTGCCCTAAGGCACGCTAAGGTACTCTAAGGTACCCTAAGGTAGTCTAAGGTAGGCTAAGGTAGTCTAAGGTAGTCTGAGGTAGTCTAAGGTAGGCTAAAGTAGTCTAAGGTAGTCTAAGGTACACTAAGGTAGTCTAAGGTAGGCTAAGGTAGTCTAAGGTAGTCTTAGGTAGTCTAAGGTAGGCTAAAGTAGTCTAAGGTAGTCTAAGGTACACTAAGGTAGTCTAAGGTAGGCTAAGGTAGTCTAAGGTAGTCTGAGGTAGTCTAAGGTAGGCTAAGGTAGGCTAAGGTAGTCTAAGGTAGGCTAAGGTAACCTAAAGTAGTCTAAGGTAGGCTAAGCTAGTCTAAGGTACCCTAAGGTAGTCTAAGGTACCCTAAGGTAGTCTAAGGTAGTCTAAGGTAGTCTAAGGTAGGCTAAGGTAGTCTAATGTACCCTAAGGTAGTCTAAGGTAGTCTAAGGTACTGTAAGGTAATCTAAGGTACCCTAAGGTAGCCTAAGGTAGGCTAAGGTAGTCTAAGGTACGCTAAGGTGGGCTAAGGTAAGCTAAAGTAGTCTAAGGTATTCTAAGGCAGTCTAAGGTAGGCTAAGGTAGTCTAAGGTAGTCTAAGGTAGGCTAAGGTATTCTAAGATACCCTAAGGTAGTCTAAGGTAGGCTAAGGTAATGTAAGGTACCCTAAGGTAGTCTTAGGTAGGCTAAGGTAGGCTAAGGTAGGCTAAGGTAGGCTAAGGTAGGCTATGGTATCCTAAGGTACCCTAAGGTAGGCTAAGGTACACTAAGGTACCCTAAGGTAGGCAAAGGTAGGCTAAGGTAGTCTAAGGTACCCTAAGGTAGTCTAAGGTAGGCTAAGGTAATCTAAGGTAATCTAAGGCAGGCTAAGGTACCCTAAGGTAGTCTAAGGTACCCTAAGGTAGACTAAGGTGGGCTAAGGTAGGCTAAGGTACCCTAAGGTAGGCTAAGGTAGGCTAAGGTAGGCTAAGGTACCTTAAGGTAGGCTAAGGTACCCTAAGCTACCCTAAGGTAGGCTAAGGTAGGCTAAGTTATGCTAAGGTATGCTAACGTACAGTAAGGTATGCGATTTGTAAAGTATTGTATGCCTATTTCGGTTGCTCATATAGCGAGAAAGCGCCCAAAATGGCGGGGACTTTCGTGGAGTGAGCAAAATGTTTTCAACAATTTCGTGAACATTTTGAACCAATTGTACCTGTTTTCTATGGATTTTGGATTGTGTGTAACTGTGGACATTCCTGCTAGTTTATTTAATGCGTTTTTCTTGGTGCACGGCTCTGAAAGTCCGAAATTTGGATCGTGGAATTCCCGTGCACGATCATAATATACTGAATCTGAATATAAACGAGCCAAAGACAATTTCAAGGTAAAAGGTTATAACTTAAACTGCACAACGTAGTTTTAATAAATAACTACTTTATGAGAAGCATATTGGTGTCATATCGATATGAATTTTATCGAACAACAGTCCGTGAAAACTGCAGTGTACTCAGTGTGAAATATGATATTGTATTTGTATAAATGCCTATTACAGTAATGGCGCAATAGCCAATAAGGATAAAAATACCACCGTTCGATTCAGCATAAGAAATTGCACTTACGGATGCCAAATGTATCACTAAACAACAGTATTCTAACGATTTATGGACTTTGAAAATCAAGCGACATTTTTATTTTTGGCAAATTACTCGCCGTTAATTGTCCGACCTTGTATTTGACCTTGTATTTGTAATGCCTAATAGTAATAAGTAATGGCGGATAAAAATATAAGAAATTGTACTTATAAGAAATTGTACTCAACGTAAGAAATTGTACTTATATATGAATGAAAAATTGTACCTACGGGTTTCAACTGTATTACTAAACAACTGACAACAGTATTCTAGCGATTTATGGCGTTTGTCTTTGAAAGGCAAGCGAAATTGTATTATTTGTTGACAAATCGCTCAAACCTAAAATTATATAAAATGCAATATGTTTGATCCTTGATAACTTTGGTATCGTTGGTTTTCTCTTTTTCGGCCGTATAACAGTGGATTCGTCTCACTTCTCTCTTCATTTTGATAATATTTCGAGCCCAAAAGCCCAAAAATATTTTAGTTTGGACGTTTTAAACTAGCGGCCAACAGAAGAATGTAGCGTATTACAAAATACAATTTTTAATACTTGTGGGCCATAAACGCCGGAAATTTTATTTGTACTTGTAGCACAGAATAGCCTGTAGGGTACCGCATTTTAGTGTGTTAAGCTTTCGCACTCGTATTCGACTTTTCCGCTTAGCTCGGGGTCAGGCTTAGATCTTAATAGACCTTTCCCCTTTTCAGTGAAATTTTGATCTAGATTAGCCTGGACAAACCACAGGCGGCCCAATCTCGCAAGGGTCAGTATAGACTTACAGTATAAATGTATATTATATTAATGTATATAATAGTAAAAATATGTCGTAAAATATAAATTTTAAAATGAAATTGACTTGCCTATTCGATAGTGTGTGTTCTCCTTTTATTCCTCCTTTGCTGGACTAATATTTTCCAAGACTTTGTACTCGATGTTACTAGTATACATGAAACATGATAAAGGCTAACGATTCCCGATCGTCGATACGACGGCACGGCACTTCGAATCGAAAATTCTCACACTCAAATCGCTTTATTCTCAAAAAAAAATCGCCAGCATGTACAGCAAATGCCGTTCTTCGAAAATACAGAGGTATTTTGGCGAGATGTACAAGTTTTGGACTATATTTTAACAATGGAAATCAAAACCCATTTTATATTGAACTTACCCGGACCGAAAATTACTACGGCGAACGTCTGCGCAACCAGGCCTCCTTTACCGTTGGATTTACAGGGGGGGAAGCAGATATTTCCGGTAACAGCCAGCCAATCGCGGCCGCGTAGCGACTGTTTACATTATTTGAAATTTGATATTCAAAATAAAAACTCCTTCGATCGGATACTGTATAAAACTCGAGATGTTGTCGAAGAAAAGAAAATTAAACGACGGAGATTGAAGAAATTTAAGGAAGAAGTAATATACAGCAGCTCTTTGTTGGAAAGTATGGTAGAATATGATACTTTAATTCGAAATATTATCGTGAATATATTAATGGCATCCTCCCCCCTGTAAATCCAACGGTAAAGGAGGCCTGGTTGCGCAGACGTTCGCCGTAGTAATTTTCGGTCCGGGTAAGTTCAATATAAAATGGGTTTTGATTTCCATTGTTAAAATATAGTCCAAAACTTGTACATCTCGCCGAAGTACCTCTGTATTTTCGAAGAACGGCATTTGTTGTACATGCTGGCGAATTTGTTTGGAGAATAAAGCGATTTGAGCGTGAAAATTTTCGATTCGAAGTGCCGTGCCGTCGTATCGACGATCGGGAATCGTTAGCCTTTATCATGTTTCATGTATACTAGTAACATCGAGTACAAAGTCTCGGAAAATATTAGTCCAACAAAGGAGGAATAAAAGGAGAACACACACTATCAAATAGGCAAGTCAATTTCATTTTAAAATTTATATTTTACGACATATTTTTACTATTATATACATTAATATAATATACAATTTATACTACAGTATAAGTCTATACTGACCCTTGCGAGATTGGGCCGTCTTTGGACAAACATTTCATCACAGCTAGGAAGAGCATTGCAGAATTAGTAATATTCCGAAGTTTCGTTGCAAAAAGTTGTAAAATGCGGATAATATAGCCTTGCGAAGCTTGCCGTTTTCAGTCATTTTGCAGTACAAACGGAAAATTGATAATCAGATAATGAAACTGATGGTCAATTTCCCATTTGTAATACAAAATGACTGAAAAACGGCAAACTTTGCATTGCTATATTATCTGCATTTTAAATATGACTAATTTTGTCATGCTCTTTCAAGCTGCAGGCGCAGAATAACGTGCACATAAGGGCGACTTCTTTGTTTTTCCTATGATTTTCTTATGATTTTGGCAGATTTTGACGTAACCGTAATTCGTCACCAAATGCTGACGTCATCAAATGCTGACGCCATTCACCCCCCTGATAATATTCAAAATGGCGGACGTCCCGGGGTGAATGCCTCTCAAACCCGCACTGGCTAGGACCATGGCGTCAGCATTTTGATGATGAATCATGGCGTGGGAGCGGTTACTCGAGTCGACCTTCTGTGTGCATTATTCTGTGCTGCAGGGCCGCCGAGAGCTTGACGGGGGCCCGGGGCAAATTTTTCTTAGGGGACCGTATTGAAAAAAAATTTCCGGACGAGTACGTTGTACATGCTTTTGTGGGAAATTACTGCAAATTTTTCATACCAAATTTCGGTTCTTTGCCCGAAAAAAACAGATATTGTGACACAAAAACGGAAATATTTCGCGCAAAAAATGACTGATGCCCAACAAAAAATTTCTAGGGACCCCCAGAACCTCGTGGCCCGGGGCAATCTCCCCCCCCCCCTTCTCGGCGGTCCTGTCAAGCTGTGATAAAATTTCTGTCCACGCTAGTCCAGATCAAAATTTCACTTAAAAGAGGAAAGGTCTATAGAAATATCTCTGTACTGTATCTGGCATCATATAAAGTAATGTGCGTATTTGTACAGCCCCAGCGAGTTAACGCTCCATAGAGCGTCTTGTTCGAATTTAAAACGAATCGTTGTACTTTAGTACAGTTTTTTTTCTCGATTATTCGTATAAGTTGGCTCGACCGAGCGCAATGGCGGCCACAAGACAATTAAAGCAGCAGATTACAGATTTATTAATGAACGATAAAAGCATTCTAAATTCGATTGCTGAGGTAGTCTCCTTAACCGCAACAATTCAAAAGATTGCTGTTAATATTGTCCAGAACACTGAATTTGTCAAGTCCGTCACGAGCAAACTTGGTAATCAAAAGGACGCCATCAAGCAAGAGCTATATGAGTCAATTTTGTTTGATAGCAGTGAGGACAAGAATAAGATAAAGCAGCTTGAGGAGCTCTGCAATGAATTGCAAAGAAAAAACAAAGATTTAGAGTGGGAATTCGAAAGTCTCGAACAGTATGGTCGACGTAACTGCTTACTCATTCATGGAGTTGCTGAACGGTCAAATGAATTGACAGAGGATACGGATGCCATAGCTATTGACATTGTCAGAAACAAGCTAGGTCTGGAGATTGAAAGGACGCAACTAGACAGATCGCATAGACTTGGGAGAAGAAATATATCACAAACAAGATCGAAGCCTCGTCCAATTATTTTAAAATTTGTATCGTACAATGTAAGAAGCGAAGTCTTTCGTCGAAAGCGGAGACTTAAAGGGTCTGGCTTGGGCGTAACAGAAAGTCTGACAAGGAAGAGAATGGATCTATATTCAACAGTAAATAATCATTCAAATGTCTCATCCGCATGGACTTTAGACGGTAGGATTATTGCGTTGAGAAACGATCAAAGAAAAATAATTGTTGAATCTCATAAAGATTTAAGCAAACTGTAGACGGATTAATTTGTCTTCTTCTATGAAGTTAACCGTATTGGAGTACTTTAGCTGAATTTACTCATATAAATTCTAGTTTTTGTTAGTTTCTATACGTTTTGTGTGATTATTTAAGAGAGCCTAGGCTGGTGCTTTATTGATAGCCCAGTAAACTCGATTGCTTGTCTCTGAAGGTTCTGCTTCAGTTATTGCATATTAATAAGTCTTTGTCTTTTTGTTTGTTTGTTTGTTTGTTTGATTCATTAGTATCATTTATTGTTTTATTCCCTGCTATGCATGTCTTGTTCAAAATGTGGTGTGAATATAAATGTCGGTAGCAGGAGTAAAGAGTATTGTTTGTTCCCTAGATTAGACATAAGCACTTCACCAACAAATGTACCACATCTCACGAGATCTGACGTTGATCATCACATGCCAAATGATATTAATTTTAATTATTGCAGCTCGCATGAATTCCATGACAACCAAGAAATAATTCATTGTCTCAGTGAACGCAATTCGTTCTCTGTACTTAATTGTAACATTAGAAGTTTGGCTAAAAATTTTGATAATTTTCATAATATGCTTAATGAATTAGATGCTGAATTTTCGGTCATCGGACTTACTGAAATCAAATTAAAATTTAATCAAGACCCAATTATAAATTGCAATTCACCTGGCTATAAATTTATCTCTCAACCAAGTTATTCTCACAGTGGATGAGTTGGGTTTTTCATTAAAGATAATTTAAAATTTAGAATAATGAATGACTTAACTGCATAGAAGGACGAATTTGAGGCAATTTGGATAGAAATAGAAGGAAATAATAAACAAAATATGACATGTGGATTAGTCTATAGACATCCTAATGGTGACTTGGACAGTTTTCAAAATTATTTAAACTCTGCCATAGATAAAATTCATAGACAAAATAAACAGTGCATAGTAATGGGCAATTTTAATCTGGATCTTCTTAAATTTGAATCTCATGCTGGCACTGACGAATTCATGAACAATCTAGGAACCCATTTCTTTCAGCCGCACATTCTTCAACCGACACGCATAACAAATCACTCGGGGACCTTAATTGACAATATTTTCTGTAATTTCTTAGAGCACTTCACAATTAGTGGCAATATAGTATATGATGTTACTGACCACTTACCTAATTTTCTTATTATCAATAAATTTTCATGTCTAACTTCTAATATCAAGATATATAAAAGAGACTATTCTAAATATAATGAAACTGATTTGATAAATCAAGTTGAGGCAATTAACTGGCAAAACCTTTTTCTTAGTCATGGTGCTGACCCATCGAATATGTTTGATTCCTTTTATAGCGAAATTTCTTCTATTATAGATAAGAATATTCCTATTAAGGTATTATCAAGGAAAGAACGTAAAGTTCAGTCTAAACCGTGGGTAACTCCTGGTATTAGGAAATCTATCCACATAAAGAATATGTATTACAAAAAATATTTAAGAACTAAATCGCAAAAGTTTTATTCAAGATTTAAGAAATATAGAAATAAAATAAATCATTTAGTGAGAATGAGTAAAAACAATTATTATAACAACTATTTCAATAATCATTTGAATGACTCCAAATTGGTATGGAAGGGAATCAGACAAATAATATACATGAAAGCTCCAACTTCTAGTGCAATTCCGACAAAGATTATAAATAATGGGCAAGAAATTACTGAAACACAAAAAATTGCAGAAGCTTTTAGCAAATATTTTGCAGAAATTGGTGATAAACTTGCCAGTGATATTCCCAATGTCTCTAAATCACCATTGGAATATATTGATAGTCAAACTTCCGATAGTTTTTACATATACCCTACCACTTCATACGAAATTGAAAGAGAAATTATGGCTCTAAAAACTAGCAAGGCAGTAGGACCATGTAGTGTACCTATAAAAGTGTTAAAGCTTCTTCAAAATGTCATAGCTAAACCCCTGGAAATTTTGTTTAACACCTCTTTTTCAACTGGTATAGTCCCTGAAAACTTTAAACTAGCTAGAGTCTTACCAGTATTCAAAAAGGGGGACCATACTAACTTGAATAACTATAGACCAATTTCACTTCTCTCTGTCTTCAACAAATTATTAGAGAAACTTATGTATAATAGGCTTATTGCTTATCTCCAAAAGAAAAATATACTCTATGACAAACAATTCGGATTCCGCTCGCAGAACTCGACTGAGCATGCTATCCTGACTATCATTGATAAAATTCAAAAGGCTATTGAAAATAGGAACTATTCTTGTGGAATATTTCTGGACTTTAGTAAAGCCTTTGATACTGTGCATCATGGAATTCTAATAAATAAGTTAGAAAAGTATGGTATCAGGGGAATTGCTAATGACTGGTTTGCCTCTTACCTTACTGGTAGGAAACATTTTGTATCCATGAATAATATATCATCTAATCTTAATGACATAAATTGTGGTATACCTCAAGGATCTGTTTTGGGGCCTCTTTTATTTCTATTATGTATTAATGATTTTTATAAATGCTCAGAATTATTTGATTTTCATCACTTTGCTGATGATTCCAATTTATTCTATGAAAACGAAGATATATTAGATCTGGAATCGAATATTAACTCATTAACGCCCAATGCGCCCGTATGCGCCCTGAGATTGACAAGTGGGTAACGGACAATGCGCCCGAATGCGCCCTGGCATGACACCTTAACTTGCGGGCATGATATTTGAGCACGTGTTTATCGGGTTGCCTAGCAACGGATACGAAAATAGAACGTGAAATTCGAGCTTTTCAACGGTGTATCATGCAAGAAAATCGGTCAGAAACTCGCAAAGGTTTTCAAGTTTAAAATCTTAGTTTTCCAAAAATAATGAATAATGGCGATTCTGTTACAAAGAAAGATTTTACAGCAAGTTTTAAAAGCAAGAAAAGAAGAGGTTTCTGAATCAACTACAACGAAAATTTGGCATGAAAGGAAAGCGAATGTTTGACGTTTTGGGGCCAAGTTTTTCTGTGAACCATGCGCGAGATTTTCAGCCAAAAAGATGAGGATTTCTCCAAACTTTATTAAAAATAGAAGTCGGAAATCACAAGAAAGATGAACACGGAACACAAGTGAGCAGATACGATTTTTTAAATGGTATTTTTGAGTAGAAATATGCGACTGCATTAATGTTCGTTGAATCTAGTTTAAAGTTATCTTTTTAGACGAACTGTTTATGCAAATTTGGGCACAATTTCGACTGTTTTCGTAACCCCATTGTTGGTCTTCTTGTTCAAGTTGTTATTTTAGCTAAAGTATGTTTCAAACGACACCAGATTAAATTACTGTGTGCGCACGTGCCCTATTTGGCAAGAATACTTCGAGTATTAAATTACACTAAGTAAGTAGGGTACTCCAAAATCACTGTTATATCTATTTTCATCAATTTAGTCTTAAAATGACAACTCGTTTCAGACATATTGTGGTTTGAAATAAGTGTATTG